GAATTAGTTTCAAGGGCAGTATGTTACTTTGTGTGGGTGTCAGGAAAAATATGCTGAAGAAAACTTAATCTTTTAGCAAATTGTTCAGGAAATAAATGTTCTCTGGGAAACAAACTAATGAAGAGAGAAAGGAGTGAGAGAGGAGGTTACTTCTAAAATTACAGGATTGAAAGTGAGGCAGAGCAAGTAAAATGATGTGTAAATTGGGAAATTCTCAATGCGGTGAGAACAAACAGCAAGTTCAGAAATCAACTCTAACTGGGCACTTCTTGCATTTCTGTTTTTATGTTGATGCAGGCAAATCCCTTGAAATTACCAAAGATGCTCCAGCGTCTTTATTAAACAGCATTTGGCTATTCCCATTCTACTTATAAATTGCACATCATCAGTAACCTGTGCTGATTAGTTCATGAAGGGTCTTTTGCTATCAAATAATTGTTGGCTTTTAAATAGCTAAGAGCATTAAGCAATACTTTTATTTGGTCAGCCAAGATTGATATATCAGAGTGTGCCTAAAATAATCACAAAAGGATTCTGATAGGAACTAAACCTTGATTTCAGACTTAAATTACTATTTATTTCCAGGTAGACAGAGCAGATGAATAAGAGAGAGAATGAAAATGATAAATCATCTAGGTGGTTGTTAAAAGCATGAACTTGTGTTGTAGGAAAGGTCTTCAAGTATTTCCTATGTATTGAATGTACTCATACTATCAAGGTGAATAATCTTCCTTGACCTTAATTTACTTGCTTATCACATAAGTAATAAAAGTGACTGACATCAGATTGTTGAAAGGGATAAATGCCACCATATGGTTATTCATAAAGATTACTATCTGACACACAGTCAATGCTCAATACAGGTTATTTATTATTAATATCATCATCCTCACATCAAACATTGATGCAGGTCTTTATTTCTTTATCAGTTTCTATTATTTTCAGGTTACTTTAGAAAAATGAGGATATTATACATTAAAATAATAAAATCTTAATTGCTGTAATACAGTCAAGTATATTTCTGAAATACTTTAAAAGACCATATTAGGTGCCTATATCAATAAGCCAAAGTAACTAGTTGCATTGTTATCAGGTCTAATCTACAGACATTTAATCATATACTAAATATTGATCATTTTGAGGAATTTTAGACAAATTACATTTTCTGAATTTAGATTTTTTTATTCTCTTTGCTATTGAAATCTAGACTTTTATATCTTGATTTTGTTCATAACATCACAAAACTAAGTCCATGTCTCAAAATTGAGGCCTTAGTTACATATTAATGTTTAATGGCAATGTCTACATCAGTTTTTCCAGGTTTTCTCCCTGGCACTATATTCTAGATTTTGCGTTTGTTGATTCTCGGCCTGTCAGGTTTGAACTTCTCAACTTATTCCATTGTCTTTATTCCTGTTCCTCTATAGAGGGAACAGAAGCAGACTGACGTGAACCCAGCCTCAGTAATGACTCAATCGCTCTCAAAAAAATAGTCCTTGAAGACCTAATATATGTCAAACACCCTTGAGATCACAGATGAACAAGGCAATCAATATTCTTCAGCACTATCTTTTCCTCTTTCGAATGCCTTTCTGATCTAATTTCATCTTTTTTCAGTAAAAGGATTAAAAATCTTCCTAGTAATATCTCTATATTGTGTGCAAATGTAACAATTTGTATTAGATGCTTCTTAAGTCACCACAGATACTGATGACTCTCATTTATGAAGCAGGAAAGCAACCTACTGATGACATTCCCTATATCTATGCAGCTATAATTTAGCTAAATTAAGTAGACTGCATACTCTTTGTTGTAGTAATTTTTGTATTATTTAATATGTATGCACTACTATTTAGTTCTGTGTGGTGAAATGGTACTGCTAAATAAATGATGAGTTCAGTTACATATACAGATCTGTCTCTGAAAGCTTTGTTTAGAAAATTAAGGGGGTGGGGGGGCTAAGCAATGAGAAAATAGAAAGAATTGGTTTGAGAATCAGACTTTTAAGTAACAGATTTTACACAATGTCAAGCTATAAAGTTCATGCTGTTGAAAAGTAGTAACTGAAGGAGAGATGAAGCAGGAGTTACGCATCATCAGGGTGGCCTTGGGGTACTTGCTTCTTTTCTCTTTCAGGACATCACCTGGATTACATTAAGCAAGTCAGCTTGCTAAGCTTGCATGCACTATACAGAAGGAGAAGCTTTGATCATGCAGTCAGTTTGTTATAAACGAATGTCTTACATCAACACTATTTTAACATCTTACAGTTTTGTAGATTGAAAATCCAATGCACATCTCAGTGAACTAACCAGGCTAAAATCAACATATCGGCAAGACTGCATTGTTTCCTGGGCTCCTGGGGAAATCTACCTTCCTGCTTTTTGCAGGTTGTGTAGGTCAGTAGTATCTCTTGGCTTGAGGCCTTTCCCCTATCCTGAAAACCAAGACAGCAGGGTTGGGTCCCATCACATGGTTTCATTCTCACATTCTCTGTCTTCCTCCGCCACATTAGAAATTCTTGTGATTACATGTGGCACACACAAATGATAAGACCTTACTTTCTCTTTGCCCCATAATTTAAGGTATTTATAGATTACAGTCCATAGATTACAGTACATTACATCTTTCGGGACCATTCCCCTGCTTGCCACAAGCATAACAGATGAAATTTCCACTGAATTCACAGATCTCACACGATTAGAGTGTTGCCAGGAGAACTGAACAGGTTGCATTATGATGATTTTCTTTTCTTTTTTTTTTTTTTGCTTCTCTTAGATAACTCAGGGAAGGTAGAGATTACAGGCCTGTTAACTTTGCTGTACTGAATAATCACAGAATTTTGAAGTTTCAGTTTATTTGAGTGATTCTAGTCAAACCACTCTATTACATAGCCTTTCCTAATATCTAATATGTGCAGCTACATATTAATCAGCATTTGAATAATAACACTATGAACTTTTCAAACTCTGGATAAGAGTTGTGAACAATCTCTCCTTGTTATAAGTGTATGGTTTATAGATATACATATACACATATGCACATACACAGAAGCATATATAGGTATCTGTATATCTCTATCTCTCTATCTAGCTAGTTAGCTATAGAGAAGGAGAGAGAGAGGGAAACAAAGGGAATGTTTTCTTAATCTTTTGGTCACCTATTTCTGAACCTAATTCCCTTGCCCACTGAGGACAAAATGGTCCACGGCTCCTAGAAGGAAACACAAGGGAAATAGCTTAACCCTGGAACCTGCAGAAAGAATCAATTCTTTCAACATCTTGACTTTAGTTCAGAGACTAATTTTGGACTTAGCACCTTCAGAACAATAAAATACTACATTGGTAAAGTAATACATTTATGTTATTGTCGGGCAGCTGTGTGGCACTTTGTCAAATCAGTTAAAAGAAACACAACTGATAAGTTGATGATGCATCATTTTTATAGGTGTTAACACCCATACAGTATGTTTTTACACTTATATTTTTAAAAGATTTCTTTATTTCAAAGGCAAAGTTATAAACAGAAAGGAGGAGAGAGAAAGAGAGAGAGGGGTCTTCTAGTCACTGGTTCACTTCCCAGAAGGCCACAATAGCCAGAGCTTAGCCAGGCTAAAGCTGGAAACCAAGAGCTTCTACAGCTTCCCCAAGTGCATGCAGGGGCCCAGGCACTTGGGCCATCTTCCACAGCTTTCCTAAGGCATATCAGGGAGCTAATCAGAAGTGGAGCAGCTGAGGCTGGAACAGGCATTTAAATGAGATTTGGTGCTGCAGATGGCAGCTTTTCCAGCAGTGCCACAGTGCTAGCCACCACTCATCCCCCATCACCATGTATTAGAGAACATGAAGATCCTACTTGGAATTAAGAAATCTGAAATAGAGCTAAGTTAATCATCGATATTTTCAAAGATTCTAAGACCTATTTCCAAAGATTTTTAGACCTGAAGGGAGACATTGCACCCATATGTGATGTCAAAGTTTCTACTACTTGCCACCATAATAGATCTCTCAAGAAAGGTGTAATTTACTATATGACTAGCTATTCTTAGCCATTATAACATATAGCCGCTATAGTTAGCTATGTATTTGCAGAATAACTACCTTCAATAGGAATTGTCTCTGTAAATCTTGGGGAATGAGAGATGCTAATATGCTTGAACATAAGCACCTGGTTCTTCCAGGGTTTTCTGATCTCATTTCACCCCATCTTGATATTCTTACTAACAATGAACCATAAAGACACATGGAATGGAGGAGATCAGAGCTGTATACAAATAAGGAAAACTCAAAATATAAACTCACTCTTCCAGTTGTGCTTGAAAATCAAACCAATAATGTTAAACTTACAACAATGATGTGTAGCTTAAATTTACCCAATGAAATCACAGTAGACAGTTACTCTATAATCAGAAGGGTGTATGCCAAATTAATTTCTGTAAAATAGGTCTTCTTGAACACACCGGTTTTGTGTCTGGGTTGAACTAAATTAACAATTCAGCCTTTTTAATTCAGGCAGTTCCACATTAGGTAACAACCAGGACATTTGGAGAAAACCTTTGTAAAGTGAAGTTTGTTTTGTGCTATATTCTGACTCTACTTCCTAGAACTAGGTAGGTTAGATTTCTTTTCTATTAAAGGTCATAATTCCTATTCTAAAGCAAGTAAGTATCAAAATTCATATTTCTATTATATATTATGGCATAAGAATTTAAAATTAAGAAACGATAGCTACTTAACATCAAGTAAATAAACAGTAAGTTGTGAAAAATGTGTTTATATGTGTTTATGCAGTATATGTAAACAAAAGTCCCACCATAGCAAATTTTGATTAAAAATTTAGCAGTTAAATTTATATTGAGATTCCTAAGCATGACATTATAATAATAACCAACTAGACCAATACACTTTTGCAAGTCCTTGCTAACAGCCAGCTTAGGAAAGAATTGTGGTCTTATTATTGTCTTCATAATAAATCTCTTAGGTTCAAGTTGAAGCAAATACATATTTAACAACAGCCAAAAACACATTGTGTTATTTCTGAAAACAATGTAACCAAGTAAAAAGTATGTATTTACAATACATTTTCTAATTTAGTTTTTTTTTTTTTTAAGATTTATTTTTCCTGGAAAGGCAGGCTTACAAAAAGAGGAAGAGACAAAGATCTTCTTTCCTCTAGTTCACTTATCAAGTGGCCGTAATGGCTGGAGCTGAGCTGATCCAAAGCCAGGAGCCTCTTTCTGGTCTCCCATATAGGTGCAGGTACCCAAGCCCTTGGGCCATTCTCTACTGTTTTCCCAGGCCACAAGCATGGAGCTGAATGGGAAGCAAAGCAGGTGGGACACAACCAGCACCTATATGGGATCCTGCTCTTGAAAGAGGAGGATTTAGCCTCCAATTCAGTCTTAATTAAAAAGTGTCAGATTTTTCTTAAAAGGCAATACAATGTGCCAATATTATGTGCAGAAATAGTTTAATGTAGTTTTTCCATTGAGAGGGCAAATCATGTCTTTCACATGATTTAAAGGCAAAAACAAATCATGTTAGAAAAACAATTTTATATAGCTATAGTTTTTTATATCATAAAACAAGATTTTGACTATACAAACTTATTTTAATGGCTTCAGTTTAAAAAGATGTGCTAAGGGGAGCCAGTGCTGCAGTTAGTACTGTACAGGGTACCTGTATCCCCTGTTGAGGTACCTGGCTGCGATTCTGGCTTTGCTCCTGGTTTAAGCTTCCTGCTAATTCATATGGTAGAAGGCAACACAAGAGAGCTCAAGTATATGGATTCCTCAATCCCTGAGTTCTTGGCTCCTGATTTCTACCCAGACCAATACTAGCTGATGCAAGCACTTGGGAATGAACTACGGAATGGGAAATCTCTGTCTCTTCTTCTCTACTTTTCAAATAAAATAAATCACACTGTTTGAAAAAGGACCCAGTACTGATCATTATTTTTTAAAAATCAAGTAATATCATTTAAACTACATCAAATATTTCTATCATATGGCATAATTAGCACAAAACTTTAAAAAAAAGAACCAAATAAAATATAAATAGCAAAATAAAGTGTTCTAAAATAATTGGAAGAATAATTAATGTATTAATGCCTATTTGCACAATTAGAAAACTGCACAAAACTCTAGTCACTAAGGAACTAACTAGACACTTAACAGAGTCACAAATAAAATGTTATTTTTAGAATGTCTGGTAAAGTGACTGTGTTCCAAAATAATTTAAAAGGTGAATTTAATCTGTTCAACTTCAGAGAAACTCACTCTTGATTGTATAATTTACTCAAATAGAAACAGAGTTGTGTTTAGGCCAGGTGTCAACAAGCAAACGTGGGTGACTATCTTTAGTAACTCCATATTCTGCATTACTTGTTTCCTTGCATTTTTCTCTATTTTATATCATAAAAGCACCATTTTGACTACACAAAAATTGGTGTGATAAACTCTTTAGACTCTTCAAGAAGAGATCAAACATGAGGCGAGCATGATGGCTCAGTTGGCTAATCTTCCCTTTGCCAGACCAGCACTCAAAAAATGGGTAGTGGGTCATGTCCCAGCTGCTCCACTTCCCATTCACACCATTCAGGTCCCTGCTTATGCTCTGGAAAAGCAGCAGCAGATGGTCCAAAAACCTCAGGACCTGCACCTGTGTGGGAGACCTGGAAGAAGCTCCTAGCTCCATATTGGCTCAGCTCTGAGCTTTGTGACCAAGTGGGGAATGAATCAGTAGATGGAAGTTATGTCTCTCTCCCCTTCTCTGTAAAATCTGTCTTTCCAACAAAAACAAATTATAATAAAGTAAAGCAGATAAACAAAAATAAATTTGTATTTAAGGTAGAATTTCAATGGCTGGGCATATTGTTTAAACAGATGGGATGAAAAAAAACAAAGGAATAGTGTTCAAACTGAAGTAGTATGTGGAATACTGAAGGAGGCCTGGGTGAGAAGAATCAGTCTCAGTGAGGTTGAATAACAAGTTGAAAGAGACCTAACATCATACACAAACAGTGCAAATCTTCAGGATATTGAGACGACATAGCAGTTTTCCTTCAAAATTCACTATATTAGATTTTACTGCACAATTTGCCCATTGGAAAAGTTTGAAAGCCCATTCTCCATCAAAAGCAATGATCAGCTTAAAATTTATTGGAAGGCAAGTTTTGACATGTCCCTCTAAATCTTGCTTACAGTGATATTCTGAGTGGTATTTGTAGCAACATTATTTTTCTAACCTCCTTTTCCATTCCATGCAATGTAACCTCTTCCCATTTTCACCACATGAGATCCCTGATTAAAAATTTTGTAAAATAAGCATAGCAATTGCAGCAAAGATCATTTAGGAAATAAATATAATAGAGTGATCAAGATAATGGATTCTGAAGCTTAGATGCATTAAATTCAAGATACAATTACACACACAATACTCGAGTAGCCTTGGGTATAGTCAAACATTTCTTTGCTTCATCCATTACATGGGATGATGTTAGGATTTTCCTTCCAACAATGTGGTCATTCTTAATGCATTCAGCACATGCAACAAGGCTTAACTCGCAAAACATGGTGTAAATACTGGCTTTGTTTTCTGCTTCTTCTCTAGCATTGGATTCCTCTCGATATGTCAGTATTCTAATTGTTAGAGGCAACATTATCTCCTGCAGCAACGTTTTCGATTTTGGAACACTTAAGTAGTAAAATCTTCTCTCTGTGCTTCTTTCTGCTGAATTCCTTTTAATTTCCTAATTGTTTCCATTGTTCCTAATTCTGCCCTTGCTGCCCTTTTGAATTAGCATGCCATGTTCTCTCTTGCAAGAGGTAGCCTTGCCTCAATTGGGAGAGGTTTCCAAATCTTTTCTGTACATTATTAATATCACATCACCTGTAATCATTCCTCAATTGATACATTTCTCAGGATCTCATGAACCTGATCATTTGCCTCTGAATCTATTTCTGATATTATTCTTACATATCCAGGTATAGTTACATTTTCATCTCCAAAGATTTGTACATTAATGATCCTTCCATGGAATAGATGAAATTGCAAAGAATGCTCTTCTACCATCTGATCAGTTATCTGTCTGAACAATTCATCTTTCTATGAAACACGTTGCCATGATCGAATTGTTACTGATTTATTAGAAACAGTACTCTAAAGGACCTGAGCAGAGAGGGTTCTGGAAGACTGGGAGGAGGATCTATCAGGCCTCTCCATTTTCACCCTTACCACCTCCCCTTAACCTGTGCCAGCAAAGTTCACACTGGAGTGTTTAAAAGGGCTCCTACTTAAAATGATTAATGCACACAGAGGTTAAGTACTGTATATTAACCATGCATTAAAAATTAAATATTATGTATAAATTTATCATAATGACTTAACAGGGTTGAATATTTTTAAGGCTCTTCAAAGCTACATATCTCCTAAAATACTAATCTATGTAGTGAAAGTAACTTATTTTTCTCCTTAAGCATTTTTTTAATTGGGCATATGTCTTGTGTACAGACATGCATTACATATAAATACACACACTTATATAGTCTTATATAGAGACTGCATAACCACATTCTTTTAAAATATTTTGAGGAAGTCTCAATGAAATTACAGTTATTAAATTTCTGGACAGAAAACCATCTCTAATAGCAGCAGTATATATCATAGTATTTTATAAAATTATGTGTTGACAGAAGAAATTCAGAGAAAGATTATGCTTAAAGTCACTCTGCACAGTATCCACTCTGAAAAATGTATTATCCAATTTTGTTTTATTCTAAAAAAACAGTGTTGGATGCAGTAGGCCTTTGGTGAGACTTTTCTCCACCTGTGCTCCCATAAGTGATTGTCCTTAGTTATACTGTCAGGCATAATATAACCATGATTCCAGTTTGGATACAACCAACAGCATCCCCATAATAGTTTCTCCCCCTGACAAATCTTTTCTGCTGATGAAACAATGGAATTTTATGGCTCATTTCTTGAATAATATATTTGAGCTTGTTTTATGTCTACTTGCCCTAAGTTGCTGATCCTATAAAACTGAAAGCTGACTAAAGTGACTTGTCAAATTTTTGGAGTTACATATTTTCCTAATTGGATTTGTTGATTTATTGCTAACAAAGATAAAAGGTTCTATTTCAGCCATGTATTTGGGATTTGAGAAGCTTCAATCTGAAATAACACTTGAGCTTGAAAAAGTGTCTGAAATATCTTAAGCCAAAGAAAGGTTAACGTGAGAGAAATGAAGTAAGAAAAAAAAAAGCCATTCATAATCATCTTCTACCACTCCACAACAAAATTATTGAAAGTCCATGTGTTTGAGAAGAAAAATTTACCTTGGTAATTTCTACCACCTAAATTTCCTTCAGAGTCAGTTTCACTGTTAATTAATATTCTATCAGAATAGTATGATTAATGATAATAAATTTATCTATATCTATAATTATATTAATTATGGAGTATAATTATAGATGGATGCAATTAATATTCTAAATCTAATGAATATCCAATCAGGAAATAAGAAAATGATCCCAATATCCAATTGAGAATACTTATCAAACCTTATATCAAGTAACTGAAAATAAGGTACTTTCTCAGTATTTGTAAGAACAAAAAAAGGAAACTCACAAATCCTTCAAGCTTTATCTTGTAGCTGGGATTTACAGAATAAAGAGGATGGCTGACTGATTCTGTTGTGTCAACTTTCAGGAGTCTTTTTTGCATACACTGCTAATTTATTTAACATAATGTCTTTCCGTAGAGTCATTCTGTTTACATACCTATTTGTCAGTGGGGAATCTGTTTCTCACAGTAAAAAAAAAAAAAAAAAAGGCATTCTAATGTTTGGACCTTGACAACATAGTCCTGGTGTCACAAAAATAAATACGGTGCTGCGGATTCCAAAGTAACATTAAATCTGACAAAGAGAACTGAGTTCCCGGTTCCCGGCTCCGCCTTTGGCCTGTCCAAAGCATGGTGTTTGTATCATTTTGGCAACTGAGCCAGCAGG